AAGCCATGCTGCGTGGTGGGACTTCCCGTGGCACCATCAGGTCCCTGCAGCAAGGTCAGCTTCCTCACGTTGTGGAGATGTGGTCAGAGCTGCCGGTGGAGCCAACACATGGACTGGGGCCACGAGATGACAGCAAGAGGAGAGGTGGAGGGCTCCTCATCCTGGCGAGCCTCCGTTCCTTCTTCTCTGGGCACGGGTGTTTCCTTCCAGATGTGGTGGGCAGAGGCAACACTGGAAGATGCTGGTTCCCAGCTCAGTTCCCGCTGGTTGCTGAGGTCTGATGGAGCTCCGTGGGTGAGACCTGCCCTGGCAGCACCTTGGTGGGGTCTAACCACTTCCATCTCACAGCGTGGTGATCGACTACAAAACCCCACTTCCACTGCAGCCAAGAGAAGAGATTCTGCTGGGGAAAAGCCTCTGGACTTTGGTCCTCAAGACCTGCAGATGTTCTCCAGCTGGGGAGGACACACTCATCCTGGGAGATGCCCATGGTCCCAGCAGCTGCCCGTCCACCCAACAGAGACCGCAGTCGGAGCGAGCAGACAGAGCCTTTGGACTGCAGATACTGCAGGACTGAGAAATGTGTTTTTGTGAAGATCAAGCCAGCAGAGCTTTTCCTCTGGGGGTTGTAAGATTTTCCCCGCTGGGAGGTTCACGTTAGCTGGAGGTGGGCTGAGGTCCTGGCCTTGTGCAAGCAGCTGGTGGTGCCAAGATCTCCCAGCGCCGGGCGTCTTGGGGAACAGGAGCTTCCTTTTTAAATTGTCCCGTTTTCCCCAGTCCTCCCGTGCCTTTGCCTCTTGGTACAGTGGGACGACTGCCAACATCTCCTCTCTTCTGTCCCAAGCGCTTGTGTCTTCTGCAGAAGAGGGAAGCCTGGGGCCAGGTCCAAGGCTCCTGGAACCAAGTCCAGGTCGCTGTTCTCACACGTGTTCCTCTAATCCCCCAAGGTCAAACATGCCACCCGGGGCCCGACTCGGTTGCCTCAAGGCTGGCACCCAGCGCCGTCTGAGATGCCTGAGGTGTCTGGGACATCTGTGCAGGGCTGGAGACCTGCAGTCTTTCAGAGCAGCGCTTGGAGGCCGTGCCAGGGAGATGTTTTACGGGGCCTCAAGCAGCATTTGACACCAGCTCTGCGAGTAACTGAATTTCTCCTCCCTGCCGCGTGCAGGATCAGAGTTTTCACCTTAAAAAAAGCCTGAAGGGTTGTAGTGGATAGAAAACCTTTGCAACACGAAACCAGTATGGCCGGGGACATGATGCACGGGGTCCAGGATCTCCTCTGTCCCCCGCCACCCGCCTGGGGACTCATCTGAACCCCGCTGTGGCACGGAGCTGAAGGAGAGGAGGGGTGGGGAGGGCTCTGCGAGCTGGATTGGGCTGCAAAGCAGGACGTGCTGGAGGTTTATTTAGTACAAAAAGGTTGCCTTATCATCACAATCTCTTCATAAACCAACTTTGGCCGTCCAGGGAGAGGTCTGGCGTGGGCTGAAGAGATGCTGTCAACCTGAATTTCTCCTCTGGCTGCCTATTAATGCGGGGAAGCAGCCTGTCCATCCCTTCCTCCACGAGAACGATGCCTGTGCAGCAAACTTTGTCCTTGGCACTGAAAAACTGGGTTTTATACAAGCATCAAGTAGCAGGACCAGTTCAAGAAAGATGAAGAGCTACTGGAGAGAGTCCAGCGGAGGGCTACAAGGATGATGAGGGGACTGGAGCATCTCTCCTGCGAGGAGAGGCTGAGGGAGCTGGGCTTGTTCAGCCTGAAGAAGAGAAGGCTGCGAGGGGACCTAATAAATGCTTATAAATATCTGCAGAGTGGGTGTCAGGAGGACGGGGCCAAGCTCTTTTCAGTGGTGCCCAGTGACAGGACAAGGGGCAACGGGCACAAACTGAGGCACAGGAAGTTCCATCTGAACATGAGGAAGAACTTCTTCCCTCTGAGGGTGACGCCCCCTGCTCTGGGTGACCCTGCTTGGGCAGGGGGTTGGACTAGATGACCCACAGAGGTCCCTTCCAACCCCTACTATTCTGTGATTCTGTGATTCTGTGACCTTGGCTACAGTGTGAAACTACCCCTGCTTTTCACCTCTGTCTCCCCGCTTCCCTCTCCGCTCCCGCTCTGCAATTTAAGAAATCCCAGCGCCGAGTATTTCTTTTCCCTGGATGAGGCCGTGTGTGTTGGCTGCGGCGGTCTCGGTCAGATTGGCTTCAGTTCCTCACTGTACATCTGGTCCTCATCTGGAGCTAAAGGGATAAACATGTCTGCTGCTTGGGAACCGCTGGCATGTTGGAGCCCGCGCCTTTGTGCCTCTCCGCCAGCGTGGTGTGCCACGGCTCTCTTCATCCTGTCAGACCCGGCAAATCCAATCGCCTCCAATTAGTCACGTCACTGGAATGTCTCTCGTTACATATTAATCTCATTCCCAAAGAACACTGAGCGAGCTCTGCAGAAATCTTATTTTTGCAGCTCAAAGGTTCCCCTTTGCCTTCAGCTGCTTTGCTCCCAGCTGCTCCGGCTCCATCCAAGCCTCCCTGCTTCCGTGCCGGCAGAGGTTTCGCTCTTCCTCCCGCTGTCCTCCCCAACGCCTGCCAAAGCACCAAAGTTTTCTTCCCAAAACTCGGCCGAAACGCTGTCCAGGGCTTCGTTTCGTGGAGAGCTTCATCCTTACGAGCAGGTTTCAGCACAGGGCTTGAGGCTGAGCGGGCTCAGCCGGCGTCAGAGCCGGGGGACGAGGCTGCGTCCCGGGGGGTTTGCACGATGCGGTGGGGTGGGAGCGAGTCCCCGTGGCTGCGTCGCTCCAGCATCTCCCAGCTCAGCATCTTCCCTGCTTCATAAACCATAACGTGCCTCCTCTTGGCTTCTTCTTTCCGCAGCCAGTGCATCACCTCGCAGCTGGACGAGCTCCTGTGTCCTCCCACCACGCCGGAGGGTCGGAACGACGAGAAAGCCCTGCTGGAGCAGCTCGTCTCCTTCCTCAGCGGCAAAGACGAGACGGAGCTGGCCGAGCTGGATCGAGCTCTTGGGATCGACAAACTGGTCCAGGTAAAGAGAGAACCACTCCTGGGGCTTCCTGGTGGTCGCATACGGGGCCAGATGCTGAGGCTTGACGCGAGCGTGGAGGAGGATTTCCAACATCTGGTGGTAACGGGAGGCCAGATGTGAGTGGGAACACACGAGCGGGGCGGATTCAGAGAGGACACTCAACACCACGCCGTTTCCCTCCCCCCTTCCCAACCCCATCAAAAAAGCTGGAAAACAGTTCCTGTGAAGT